TGGTTTGGGTGTGGGTTGTTTGGGGAAGGAGGATGAAGTAACAGATAGTGAGGCTGGAGAGGTGGCTAGGATCCAGATTCTGGAGCATTTTGAAACTGTTGGAAGTAATTTGGATTGTATTTTAGTTTATGGAGAACCACTGGCTTCCCCCCCTCCCTTTTTAAGCCAAGAAGTAGCAAACATTTTTCCTTTTTAAATCATGAAGTGACTCGCAATCATTTGCGTGTTAAAAAGATAATTCTGGAGTACCAGAGAAGGGATACCACTGAGAATCCTCTAGGATTCTAATCCACCAGGGTGGAACTAGAGAGAAGCCAAGGAGGGTAGCGCCTGTAGTCAGGTAATGCAGGGAGAATGGAGTGGTTAGGCTGCAGTCTTGAAAATAGCATCCCTAGTATTTGCTGCTTTTTTACCCGTTTCTTCTTTCTTAAATTCTTCTTAGTGTATTTCCCTCGTGCCAGTTTCATCTCCCCAGAACTCGGTCCTCCCTTCTGTCTCCATTGTCCTTAGGCTGAAACTCGAGTCTGGCATCTAAAGCATGCCATTGCATGATTTTCTCCTCTGCGCCCTCCCAGACCTCCCGCCACAAACGGTGCAGCCAGATACCCTTCCCTGTCATTCTCACCGTCATGTTTGGGTCTTTCCTCTGCCACTGTCCAGTCTATTGACTTTGTATAGTCAGTGTTCATTTAGATTTGCTCACACACTTGTTTATTTTAGGTTTATGATTTTTTTCCTTGGTTTCTTTTTCAGATACAATTTCTTTTTTTTTTTCAGTCCTCTGCCCAGATTTTTAATTTTGTCTTTTATCCTCTTCAATACAGAAAGCACTGTTATGTTAAAGCATATAATTGATAAAAGGGGTCCTGTGGGTCAGTTTCTTTCATGTATTGTTTCTCTTGCTTCTTTTTCATATGTGTGCTGGGTGTTTTTAAAATATATGCCAGATATAGTTTTATTTAAGTTTATTTAATAAAGTTTAATATAGTTTTATTTAAATTTATTTTTAAAAATACATGAAGGCTGGGATGATGCGAATGCTCTTGACAATAGGAGCATTAAGACTCCAGGATCGCTCGAACCTGTTTTTAGGCCTTGAGTCTATTTCTGCTCTGATTTGAACACACTTGATAATGTGCATAGTTTTGGGGGATTCCAGTCTAAACTGAGTGGTTTTATCAAACTTTCTTTCCTTCGCATTGTTGGCCCTGTGCTCTTTTTTGTTCTTCTGGCTCCATTAAGCTGTCCACCCTCACCGCTACTCTTGGATTCGACGTATTTCCCAGGGAGAGAGTGACTTTACCTTGAGATTTCTGCCCTGTCCTGGATCTTAATTTGGTAATTCTTGTCATCTCTCATGCCTTCAAGTAGAGGTCATTTTTTTTTTTTTAATTCTTCTCAACAGGAGGCTTAACCTGAATTACCTGAATTAGATTTGAATTGAATTGCCATCACTGAAAGTGAATGTTCTCTTTCTGTATAGATTCTCCCTGTGTTTCAGGGCTTAAAGTGAGTTTCCATTGAAACTTTTCTTCTAAGACTGAAGCAATCTTTTCTTCCTTTGTACTCTAGTATATTATTATTATTATTATTATTATTTGCTTCTTAAAGGGCATTCACTGTTGTACACCTCACATTTCAGTTACTAGGGTAAATGTTAGTTCTACTAGACCCTAGCTCCGTAACTATGTATCTTTACACAGATCAATGCCTTGAATATATTAGTCATTTAATAAATATTGAATTGAGTGAAATAGGATCTCTTTGGGGAAGGCAATCAAAAGGACGCTGTTGGACCCATCTAATATGTTAGAGGGCTTCCCAGATGGCACCATGGTAAAGAACCTGCCTACCAATGCAGGAGGCACAGGAGATAAGAGTTTGATCCCTGGATGGCAAAGATCCCCTGGAGAAGGCAGTGGCTACCCATTCAAGTATTCTTGCCTGAAGAATTCTATGGACAGAGGAGCCTGGCGGGCTACAGTCCATGGGGTGGCAAAGAGTTGGATTTGACTGAGTGTGCATGTGTGCGTGTGTGCGCACACGCGCACGCACACACACACACACGTTATTAGAACTGCCAGACAGGAAAGCTGTAATGAGTAGCTGCCTATGTGATTTAAAGTGAAAGATTAAGAGTGCAAATATGGTTTTGGTTTTACCTCTGTGCAGTTAATCAGGGCCAGTTTTAGTTGGCAGCCGCCTTATTGTACTAAAAGTAAAGTTCAGACACCTGGATTTTACTGCTGGTTCTGAAGTGAACTAAATGGATGAAAAAGTGAGTGGCTAAAAGAACTGCAAAGCTCGTGTGAATTAATGCATCAGGTATGTACCAGATCATGCCATATTTTTGTATCCAGTGTCTAAATTCTTTGTTCCTGATGTAAAAAGATTCTCAACTGAAAAGTAAATTTGCCATGTGATGAATAAAATTTTTGCTTTGCTTTTTCCAAGTAGGTTGATGTGGTGGTTTTAATACATGTTTTGCTTTTCAGTTTGAAACATGGATTATCACATTTACTCTGACTTTTGAGTCATTTCTTAGATTTTGGGTAATAGTGCTAATCCTATGCCATAAAATTTTGAATAATCCTCACTTTTTTTTTTTAATGCTTGGAACCTTTATGCTTTAACCTGTTGCTCACTCCTAACTGTATTCCAAGAGCAGCAAACTTTGTTATTTTGAAAATATGAATGTATAAATTCATGTTATGAATTCATAGTATGCTTTAATAAGGAGTGAACAATAATCATTCTTGGCCAAGAAACTTAATCTATAACTTCATTTTTTCTTTTAAGAAGTATAATTGTCTTATTTGCCCTCTTGACTCACTGAACTTCAGGGACAGTGTTGTGGTGATCACTATCTGATTCCTTCAGTTACAGCCTAGGTTCTGTGCTCTTTTTGTTATAGATCTCCTTAACCTTTTGAGGTAGCTGAGTCCTGTTTTATTGATGAGGGAACTGGGAGTTGAGGGAGTTAAGATTCTTGCATACAATCACACAGCTGCTGTTTGGAAGAACTGGCCACCAAATTGTGGCCTGCCTCCAAGGTTGAATGCCACCTCCTGTTTAAATCTGTGTCACCTGTGTTGCAAAATAAATATTGGACTGCTGCTGCAAGTCACTTCCCTCGGGTCCGGCTCTGTGCGACCCCATAGACGGCAGCCCACCAGGCTGCCCCGTCCCTGGCATTCTCCAGGCAAGAACACTGGAGTGGGTTGCCATTTCCTTCTCCAGTGCATAAAAGTGAAAAGTGAAAGTGAAGTCGTTCAGTCGTGCCCGACTCTTCACGACCCCATGGACTGCAGCCCACCAGGCTCCTCTGTCCATGGGATTTTCCAGGCAAGAGTACTGGAGTGGGGTGCCATCGCCTTCTTCAACTGTTGGACTACCTTCAGTGATTTCCTGATAGTCTCTGCTAGTTCTTGGTCTGTCCATATGATTCAAGTGAATGCAGCACCTTCTAGTACCTGGGATTAAAAAAAAAGATTTGTCGCACAGACAAAAGGAAAAACAGATAAGGCACTAGTTGCACAAACCTGCCGTTCTCCTTGGTTTTGAGGTGGAGGGCTTTCATAGTCTGGGGGGACTTTCTCCCTTGGTGACCAGGGCTGGCGGTGGGCTTGATGTTAATTTTCCTTCTCCTGCCTGAGGGGAAAGGGGATCGTAGGCACCCTCTCAGTAGGTTTCATCCTGTGTAAGACCCACCCAGCAGAGTGGGAGTCTACCTGCTTTATGTTATTTGAGGAGATAAAATTTGTTAGCAGTATAAATTACAAGGTTTGTATCCTCATCTTGTGTTTACCAGTACAGAGTATTTGCTTCTTAGGCTGTATGAACTGTCTGACAGATTTCAACTTTGCATTCTTGATATTTTTAAAGTAGCTGTTGTATTTTCTTTCTAGTTCTGTAATTTTATCCAGAAAGGAGGTTAACTTACCATAACTTGTACTTATTCAATTAATCCATAGTTATGCTCCCCAATCACTTTTCTTTTTTTAATTCAGCATATATTTATTCATCTAATTAACTGGACAAGACAGCAAACTTAATCTGTAAAGGATTCTCTTCTGACATTTAGTAAAATTCTATTATTGGTCTTTGTTAATCATAAGTTAATATATAACTAATGATTTTATTTTCTAGAGAAAGAATGGTTCAAAATACAGCTTTAAAATATACATTAAAATAATTTTCTATCCAAGTAATCAAAAAATTAAAACAACAGAAGTGCTATTTTTCATATATTTAATTAATTAAAAACAGTACAGCATCCAGTTGAACAGTAGTGAAGGCAAATTGATACTCTCACCTTATAACTTAGAACAATTCTTTAAGAAAGTATTTTGACCATATGTACTTTAAGAAGCCATACAATTTTCCACATCTCTGGGTATAATATCATTGTTTATTGTATCTCTATCTTAAAGAAACAATCTAAAATTTGGAAAAAGCCAGATATTTATGAAAATGAATATTTAGCCTTGTTTTAAACTGATAAAATTTTAAACCACCTAGGTGTTCAACATAAAGTATATTGTTTCCTACTGAAAATTTGTAATCCTAATGCAAAGGAGAAAAATGTTTATGAAATTAATATTTAAAGGGAAGAAGTAAGAGCCCTAAACCTTATTACAAACATGTTATTTCCTTTCTGAACATCCTCAAATCATCTAATGGTTTTATTTTTATTGATCCATTGTCAGATATCATTTTTGCAGTCTGCTTTTTCCTTTTCAGAAATCAGGGCATTTTCTCAAAATCTTTTGACAACTTTTTTTTTTTTCTAGAATTTCTCAGAAATTGCTTCCCATGGTTGTGACTGTTAAATATTTTCAGAACCCAGAGTTATAATTTGTCTGGTATTGACATTTAAGCCCTTAGGTAGATAATAAACCCCCTCTCTCTCTTTTTTTTTAATTATGTTAATAACTGTATTTTATTATACTTCTAAGTTCCATGTGTTAAAAATGTATTCTCTAATATTTTCAATATAGGAGATAAAGTCTTTGCTTTCACTTTTTGGAGGTCAGTTCACCAGTAGTCAGGAAACTTATGGAAAGGTAAGTTGAATTTATATTTTTTATTAGACCTATATATATATAGTATCCTTAGAAATCTTAAATTTATATCTTTATAGCTACTTGTGTCTGTTTTTAAGGGCAGTTGAATAAAAAGGATATTTTGGGAATTTTTTTGTTTTGGAAAGTTAGATTTATCTCCAACATTCACTTTATTAGTTTTTAAATTTTACTTCAGTAGTTTACCATAATTTGTATCTGTCCCTTTATTGAAAAGAGGTCTGTCTTCTGTTGATGAGGTATAATTAGAATTTGGCTGGATTTCAGACTTTTGATACTCATTTTATAATTTGAAATTAATTATGCATGTGTGAAATTGTGAGTTTATGAGCCATGTATTTTGTGTTTGACGGTTTTATCAGTGTATTGGGGAAGTTTAAAAAATAGAAAAAAAAGCATTCACAATTCTTCTTTGACGTGACTTATAATTTGGCAATACTGCCTTCTAGTCTTTTGTTATATGTTTTTCCCCCTTAGTTGTAATACTAGCAGTGAACTTCTGTATCTCTTTTTCATTTGATAGCGTTAATACAGTCACATACCTCTGCTTAGCATTCGCTACTAACAGGGCTGTATATTTTCCATCAATTAACTCAATCATAATTTATCTAATGATTTCACTTCATTCAGCAGGCTTTTAAATTTTTCCTAATAAAAATAATACTAAGGTTACTGTCTTTTCCCCATTTGGGTTATTTTGAATTTTTTTGTAGGATAGTATAAAAATTGGAATCAAGACTGGGTCTGGCAGGGAGGACTTCTCATAAAAAGCGAGAGAACTAATTAAATTGAAAGTCCCCTGGTGTTGGACTTTTACTCCTGAGGGAACTTCAGTTGTTGATGGAGGAGGAAAAGAGAGAGCATGTGGATATAATTGGCTGAGGACAGTGAACTGAGGTTGGGGTCCTACTACACATTGCTGCATGCTGGCGAGAGGTTATCTGGGTGGAGCACAAAGATGCCTATAATCTTGGGTATTAAAACCCCCGGGATGCACTTGAACTTTTTTCTTTGGATAAAATAATAAATGATAATTGAATAATATACTCCATATAATTTTTCATCATAGTTATTGCAGAGACCCCACCCTCTTAGGTGGCCAAAGCTAGCTAGAAAAAAAAAAGGGGATGATTCAGACATATATTACTTAGTAATTCAAAACAAAATAGCTGTATTATAAGAAAATATTAGCAAAAATAAAAAATTTTGAGATTATACTTAAGGGTAAAATGTGCATTAATTCTTGGTCGTAATACATGAAGTTAACCTTAAGTTTAAATAACCTTAAGTTTGCAGTACAAAATGTTTTCATTAATATGGTCATTTTTAAAAGTATTCTGATTTTGTACTGTATTATCCTAACAGGTTATCTGTTAATTAATTTTTTTCCACTATTGGAGTAGTTTTTTATTTTGGTTAGTGTCAGATTATATATTCTCAGATTAAAGTAGCAAATAGGAATTTCTTCTATTGATTTCTTAAATAAGGTCATAAAACCACTTAAAAGTAAGTTGTATATTATTATTTTCTTTCAGTCTCCTTTTTGGATTCTTAGCATTCCCTCTGAGGATATTGCCAGAAACTTAATGAAACGGACAGTGTGTGCCAAGTAAGAACAACTTACTATGTTCTCCTGCATGAGTGTAAGCTGGCCTCATAACCACTCTGTCCTTCTTTTTGCTGCATTGGCAGAAAGTAGAAGGGGTTGATTGTTGCAGGGAGCTCAGTTTAGCTTGTAGTTACGTGTATTTGCCACTGGATGGTGACGAGAGAACAGAGGAGAGTTACCTACTCAAACTGTGGGTGAGAGAATCTCAATGATGAAATGCAGAAACACGTGCTTTAGAATAATTTTTTTAAACTTCTATATTAAGCAAGCATATGGTTTAAGATGTAAATGCTGTGTTACTACATAGGAAAAATGCCACATTTAATTATAACGAAAGTATTGAAAGCCTAAAATTTTTTTAGTTTTACTTATAGATGGTTTTTAATTAGATGAACAGATTGGTGAAATGTAAGATGACAAAAAATGAAGCCTTCCATAAAATATGTTTTACTGTTTTATTTGCTAGTGTAATTCTGATTATAATATCTTGATGTGAATTAATATAATGATGTCATTCTTGTTTATCCTGCGTGAGTGTTTTCTGGCTTTCATCATTAGTATTTATTCTTTTTTCCTTTCTTTTTTCATTGTTGGAAAAATCTGTCTTTGGGTTTGGAAATTAAACTGCATTTCAACTAGCATTTTAAAATTGAAAAACTTATGCTATCCTTGCTTTATTTTTTTTTAACACTCCCCTCCAGCCCCCCGAACATTTTGACAGATTTCTGAGAACTTCCTTCTTTTTGCTTGGAAATTATATTTAATATGGCAGTGCAAGTAAAATTTTACATATATCTAGTTTTGTTAATATGGTTAGCAATGCTTTATTATGGAGTAGATTATAACCCCCATATAATTGAGGGCAGGAGGAGAAGGGGGCAACAGAGGATGAGCTGGTTGGATGGCATCACCAAGTCAATGGACATGAGTTTGAGCAAACTCCCAGAGATGGACAGGAAAGCCTGGCGTGCTGCAGTCCATTGGTTCCCAAGAGTAGGACACAACTTGGTGACTTAACAACAACAGTTGAAAACTAGCTGCATTGCTAAATCTAATCTCATAAATTAAAGCTTGTTAATGAGTTTTACTTAGTCAACAAAAATGACCAGAAAATGGAAACAAAACTAAAAAACATGTCATTTGAATAATTATCACTGTATGTTAGCATATTAAAATTTATGGCTCTGAGAGATGTTTGAATTCGAAAGATAAATCTTATAGGCTTAAAGTAGCTTATTGAGAACCAGATTTATATGCTTCCTTCAAAGCTCATATCTTTGATGAATGCATTTGAGTAATGGTAATAAATAGTTGTGTAATACTTGTGTAACATTATGAAATAATATCCCTGGCCGCTTTTTCAGTTCAGTTCAGTTGCTCAGTCGTGTCTGACTGTGACCCCATGGACTGCAGCTTGCCAGCCTTCCCTGTCCATCACCAACTCTTGGAGGTTACTCAGACTCATGTGCACTGAGTCAGTGATGCCATCCAACCATCTCATCCTCTGTCATCCCCTTCTCCTCCTGCCTTCAGTCTTTACCAGCATCAGGGTCTTTTCTAGAGAGTCAGTTCTTCGCATCAGGTGGCCAAAATATTGGAGCTTCAGCTTTAGCATCAGTCCTTCCAATGAATATTCAGGACTGATTTCCTTTAGGATGGACTGGTTGGATCTCCTTGCAGTCCAAGGGACTCTCAAGAGTCTTCTCCAACACCACAGTTCAAAAGCATCAATACTTTGGTGCTTAGCTTTCTTTATGGTCCAACTCTCACATCCATACTTGACTACTGTAAAAACTGTAGCTTTGACTATATGGACCTTTGTTGGCAAAGTAATGTCTTTGCTTTTCAGTATGCTGTCTAGGCTGGTCATAGCTTTTCTTCCAAGGAGTAAGCATCTTTTAATTTCATGGCTGCAGTCACCATCTACAGTGATAATGAAGCCAAGAAAAGAAAGACTCTCACTGTTTCCATTGTTTCTCATCTATTTGCCATGAAGTGATGGGACTAGATACCATGATCTTAGTTTTTTGAGTTTTAAGCCAGCTTTTTCACTCTCCTCTTTCACTTTCATCAAGGGGCTTTTCAGTTCCTCTTCTCTTTCTGCCATAAGGGTGGTGTCATCACCATATCTGAGGTTACTGATATTTCTCCCAGCAGTCTTGATTCCAGCTCTGCTTCATCCAGCCTGGTATTTCTCATGATGTACTCTGCATATAAGTTAAGTAAGCAAGGTGACAGTATACAGCCTTGACATACTCCTTTCCCAATTTTGAACCAGTATTGTTACATGTCTGGTTCTAACTGTTCCTTCTTCACCTGCATACAGATTTCTCAGGAGGCAGGTAAGGTGGTCTGGAATTCCTATCTCTTGAAGAATTTTCCACGGTTGTGATCCACACAGTCAAAGGCTTTAGCATAGTCAATGAAGCAGAAGTAGATGTTTTTCTGGAATTCTCTTGCTATTTTGTTGCTCCAGTGAATGTTGGCAGTTTGATCTTTGGTTCCTCTGCCTTTTCTAAATCCAGCTTGAATATCTGGAGGTTCTCAGTTCACATACTGTTGAAGCCTAGCTTGGAGAATTTTGAGCATTACTTTGCTAGCGTGTGAGATGAGTGCAATTGTGTGGTACTTTGAACATTCTTTGGCATTGCCTTTCTTTGGGATTGAAATGAAAACTGACCTTTTTCAGTCCTTTGGTCAGTGTTGAGTTTTCCAAATTTGCTGGTATAGTGAGTGCAGCACTTTCACAGCATTATCTTTTAGAATTTGAAATAGCTCAGCTGGAATTCTATCACCTCCACTAGCTTTGTTCATCATAGTGATGCTTCCTAAGGCCCACTTGATTTTGCTTTTTAGTCTGTGTATATTTTGCATAGCTGAGGTTATATCTTCAGTGATAACTCAGTAAAAGTAGTATCACTGTGGAGGCCTTCTCTATATAAGTAATAGATAAAGGGGAATTCATTTTCAGAGGATAAAATTCACAATTCTAATTGTAGCATTAATTATATTCTTGAATAATGGACATTAGAAGTGTGTATTCAAAACTAACAAATTCAGATTTTTTTGTGGTAGAATAGGGATTGAAAGTTGGTTTTGTTTGACTTATTTTTAACATGCACCATTTTTTTAGCATTTTACAGAGTGAAAAATATAACAAATACCTAGGTACCTACCTTGTTAAATCTCAACATTTTGGGGTAATTTGCCACAATTAAAAAAAAACTAAACTGTTACAGAAATGATTGGTGCTGCCTGTGTACATTTCCCAGTTCTAACCCTCCTTCCTTTGAAGGATAGTTTCTTAAAGCATTATTTGTCAGAAAGGTTTCATTATTATTGCTATAATCAGTGAAATATTTTTGATCATACTGATATTAATAAGTTGACACCCATACTTATTTATATAGCACCCATGGGAAATGTAGCAATCCATGTAAGTTTTCTAATCTCTAAAATAGGAATCATGATAGTGCATTCATATATATGGAAACAGTTTACTCTGAAAATCTAAATCATAAAAGGTGTTACTCCAGTGTGCCAGTTATAATGGAAGCTTATGATGTTACATATTGAATATTTTTATTTTTCCATTTACATATAAATTTATTTTATATAAATTCTTTCTGAAAGAGGATATGGAGTATTATTTTTACTGAATTTGGGTTATCACTCCAGGCAGTAGTTCCTTTATTATTACTGTTTAATAGTTCATTAGGGATAATTATGAATTGTGGCATTGTCTCTGCCTTTCCTGAATGGCCTGGAGTTCTTATCTTTTTGCATAGAGAAGTGGTGTATGGATTCTGGAGTCAGATGGATTGGGGTTTGAATCCTGCCTTGCAAATTGTTGTATAACTTGAGAGAGTCATGTAATCTTTTTGTGCCTCAGTTTCCTTACTGGTTAAGTGGATGATGATACTGGCAGCTACCTCAGGATTCCTATGAGGAATGCCTGAATTAATATTAAATGGCCTTAAAAGACTCCCTGGTACTTTGAGTTATATTAAGTGTTAGCTCTAACTTAGCTAAGTAAGAGCAGTGTAATTGTAGAGGCCTTATTTCTATAAATTCAGTACAAGGGAAAGGAGGAATTACTTTTCAAAGGATAATATTTGCAGTCCTGAGAGCAGCATTTTTTCTAATCATAAAGTAGTTGATTTTAGATGCACAAAACTGTAATATATAGATCGTTTCATTACAACTGATTCTAAAAATGGTTTTGTTGATTGCAATAAAATTTTGCTTAATTTTTTTTATTCCTTAAAATAGATATAAGCTTGAGATTTTTTTCATAGTAAGAATTTCGTACTTAAAAGTAACAAAGTGTTATCAAATATGGCTAGATATCAATGGTAACATTTTTATCCTGTCATTTTTCCTTTTATGTAGAAGACATTGGGAAAGATTGAATTTCTTGCACTTTTATAAATTCTTCTGTGTAAAGTTCAACTTGTGTTTGTAATGTAGACTCGAGCTATATTTGTTTTTAGGATACGTATTTCTCATTTAATAGCTTAGAAACTTAGGCAGTAATTGTTTTGGTGGAGCGAGCGTGAAGAACCAATGAAATAATTATTACATATTACTGTATGAACTAATTTTTTTTACTGAAGTTAGTGCCAATCATTTATTTCCTAGGTCTATATTTGAACTGTGGGGTCATGGAAAGTGTCCAGAGGAGCTGTACAGTTCTCTTAAAAACTACCCTGTAGAGAAAATGGTGCGTAGCAGATGTGGTTTTATATAAGCTTATCTGTAGATACTATACTATCTGCATGTGTACTATGTACAAAACTTAAAGAATTTATCTGCTCTTATTTTAGGTTCCATTTCTGCATTCAGGTTCTACATATAAAATAAAGATTCACACATTTAATAAAACATTGACACAAGAAGAAAAAGTCAAACGGATAGATGTAAGTGAATTTAGCAAAAACCAAAACCTGTGGTTGCAAAGAGCTGGGCATGGCTGAGCACACACCCAAAAGCAAAGCTGAAAGGACCAATGAGATTAATGTAAAATAGCCACTGTTGATGTGTAAGAATCCCCAATGTCTACTAAGTACTTTTGTACCACATTATATGCTAAGCACTTTTCATGTTTTGTCTTATTTAATGCTGATACCAGACTTACAAGATAGAAATTATTATACAAGCACTATTTTTCCTTTTAGATATTTATATTATTTAGAGTTACTTTTATTTTTTAGGCACTTGAATTTCTGCCATTTGAAGGGAAAGTAAATTTAAAGAAGCCACAACATGTATTTTCTATTTTGGAGGATTATGGTTTGGACCCAAACCACATCCCTGAAAATCCACATAATATTTATTTTGGTAGATGGGTAAGCAAGTGTTCTTTTTACCTGTTTTATTTTTCTTTAAAACTTAAATGTTAGTCCTTTGAATTGGACTCTTTATGTGTAAAACTTGAAAGGGGCTGAAGAGTCAGAACTACTGTGTGAATTAAAATCAGTGGAAAATATGTGGTTGTGTGTTTTGTTTTTTCCAGAGATTCTGATGAAATGCAAGAGGATTATTATAAGATGTGGGGCCTAGGTAGGAGGTTACGTACCTGGAAACCTTAACCCAAAACTTGTCAGAAAGCGTGAACTACTTTTAAATAAAAGCAGAGAAAAGGCAGAGTGCTGTGACAGCAGGCTCCTCACTTGTGGAGCTCTGTGATTGAGGTTTCCATTCTTAAATGAAATTACTGCAGAACAGTTCTGCTCACTTCCCTAAGGCACTGAGTGGGCAAATGGAATCTGTGGTTTATGCCACAAGATATTGCTATTTAGGAGAATAACAGAGGTGGCTAGAGCTCCCTACCAGCTCCAGGAATAATTGCATTCAAATTCAATTCAAATTTACTTTGAAAAGCAGAAGTAAATGGGAACACACTAAGAAATAAAAAGTGTATGTCTGTAACTGCCTCAGTCACATTTTTACATGAAGCAGTGATTAAGTGGAAAGAAGTTATTGTCATCAAGATACTGTGGGTTTAATGTGAATAATTATTTTAAATCTGTCTTGTAGATTTATTCTTATTGAAAAATATCTCTGATCTAGATTGCAGATGGGCAGAGAGAGCTTATTGAGTCATACAGTGTCAAAAAGAGGCACTTTATTGGAAATACAAGCATGGATGCTGGTTTATCATTCATCATGGCCAACCATGGAAAAGTGAAAAAAAATGATATTGTATTTGATCCATTTGTTGGAACAGGTATTTTTATTTAATTGTTTTTGACTAATGTAGTAATGTTACTTGTTTATATTAGTCAAGGGCATAGTATTATTTTTGCTAAAAGATTAAATACAGTAATTTTTTATTTATCACTAAATAAGAGACAACCACATATTTGTATAATAGCTAGTATTTGACATTTTTGCTACTTCCAAAGATAATGCTGAAAGAATTCTTTGGGCTCTGTTTTTATTTTTATTAAATTTTTTAGAATTTTGTGGGGTTTTTCTCCCTAAGTAAACCACTAAGAGGAGCATACCATTCATTATAGAAATGTTGTAAAGCTTTACAGGTTCTTTATATAGGGAATTTCTTATTGTACTTGATTAAAAAATCAGGAAAACTTGAGGAAGAAAGACTTGAGTAACATGATTTTAAAAAATATTCATCTTTTAAAATTGGCAGTCATATACTTACATAAAAAGTGGTTAACGTGCCTTATCTTTGGCTTGTGGAGGTTCACGTGTGGAGTTTGAAAATAAGAAAAGTGACTGCGTGTCAGTGGCCTAGACCGTGACTGCTGAGGCCATTACCTGGGTTTTGTACGCACTTGATTGGGTGTCTTTGTAGTTAACTTTGTGTGGAAGTCCAAGGTTGTTTCAGCTCAGTCTGAGGACATTTTCCTGCTTCAACCCATTTTTCTTCCATCTTGCCTATGTTTATGGCGTACTCACAATTAGGTTCACCTGACTAAATTCACTGTGTTCAGATTGTGTAGGAATAAATTATGTGTGGTTGGACTTCCTCACTGTAGTGGTCTTTCCCTGTCAGAAACTCATCAGAAACTGTAAGCTGTGATGATGCAGGAGCTCCCATTTGTTGACTAGGAAGCATGTCAGGTACTAGCTGTGCACTCTAAGGTTACTGTCTGATTTAACTCTTCACGGCTGCTGAAATTGAGATACTCTACAAAACCTTCCTGAGATTATGGCACAGAGAGAGAGTAAATGACTTGCCCAGAGTTGTGCGTTGTACAAATCTCATGGGTTTCAAACTCAAGCAGACTGACTCCAGAGCTCAGTGCCCTTTCTGTCATAGCACTGACTCTCTCAGCATTAGGGTCTGCCAGCCAGCTACTGTGCTATAAACTAACGTGAGGAATACAGTACATGAGGAGCAAATAGAATCATGGTCAGGAGGTTTCTGAATGGTGGAATAATTTCCTGAGTTGTTAGATCAGTCTTGGTGCCTCTCTGCTCCACTCCGCCGTTGTCTGTCTATATCCTACCCCCAACACAGTACCCATTCCTCTCTTTCCTACCCTAATCATCCTAAGTGCCTCCCCAACTCTTTGAACTTGACAGGAAATAATGCCAAACTTATGGAAATGTTACAAGAATAAAAATAAGAGAAAGAAAACCTACATATCCTTGACCCAGAGTGGACTGCTGTTAAAATTTGGCATTATTTGCTTTATCACTTACTTTCTTAATATGTTTTATATACACAGTATTTTTCTTTCTGTACCATTTAAAAGTAAGTTGCATCCATTATACTCCTTTATCTCTCAAACACTTTAATATATGTTTCTTGATGATAAGTATATTCTCTTACATAATCACAGTATAGTTTTTACTGTTACTAAACATACTTTTCATATAGCACTTTAGTGTTGGTATTTAGCGTTCCATTTTGTTGGTTGACTCATGAATGTCCTTTATACCATCTTTTTTTCTTTTTCATTCTAGCATCAGGTACTGTATTTTGTTGTCAGCATTTCTTTGATCCCTTGATATGGAATATATCCAAAGTTTTTTCCTTTATGAAACTTGGAATATTATCCCTCCTCTCTTTATTTTTTATCCAGAATATTCCTTATTTTGGGTAATTTGATGTTTCCGTATGGTTAGATTGAGGGGTCACACTTTACTGGCTCGACCACTGCATTAGTGGTTTTGTGTCCATTTCGGGGCATCCACACAGTACCCGTCTCTCCCCATTGGTAATGATAATTCTGATCAACTGGTTAAGATGGTGTTTGATTCAGCCCCCCCCCGCCCCCCCAACACACACACACACACACACACACACTGGTTACTGTTTTTCTTCCTTGCAGTTAATAGGCAGTCTCTATGGAGACACACCAAGATCTTATAAAGGTTCTATTCTACACATCTGAATCACCCCCACCCCTCTGGTGGTCAGGTTTAGCACTGATTGACAGTTCTCGCCCACACCAGTCTTGACTTTGGCTAGAAAGGGATGATTTTCTATCTTCAGCACTCCCTCCAGTGGACATCTATCTTATTATAAGCAAAAGCTCTTTCTTTTTCTTTGTATTCATTTATCTATTGTTAATAAGAATTAGTGGATTTTCCCTCCTTTCCCTAAGTGGTCTTTTTCATTTTTTTCTTAACTATTTTATTGCTCAAATTGTCCCAGATTTGCCATGTGCGAGCCCTTTCATATTGGATCTGTCTTTGTGATATGTTCCTGTAGTCTTTTTTTTTTTTTTAGCACCTCCTTCTTCTTTCTGGCTCATTTCCTACCTCCCCAGGCCCTGGAATCAGTCATTTCTCTTAGAAATTTTTATTTCTTTTAGTGGGGAATGGTATTAGAAACCAAGATCTAGGTACTAGGTATTTTTGCTTCTACACGCTTTCAGCAGACAACTTGGAAATGCATGTGTGTATATATATACTGCTACTGCTAAGTCACCTCAGTTGTGTCCGACTCTGTGCGACCCCATCCCTGGGATTCTCCAGGCAAGAACACTGGAGTGGGTTGCCTTTTCCTTCTCCAATGCATAGAAGTGAGAGTGAAGTCTCTCAGTCATGTCCGACTCTTCGCGACCCCATGGACTGCAGCCTACCAGGCTCCTCCATCCATGGGATTCTCCAGGCAAGAGTACTGGAGTGGGGTGCCATTGCCTTCTCTGATATATATATATACATATTATATATATATATATATAATATGTATATAAATGCGTATGCAAATAGCATATTCATGCATACATATTGTATGTATACATAACTAAACATATATGCATAGTTTAGAACTTGTGAGTTCTCACAGATACTACAAATTCTACTCTAACCTTATAGGTTTCTTTTTTCACTTAACAATATTTCCTAGAAATCACTTCCTTTAGTTCATAGAGATTGTTTTCATGTGTTTTATAGCGTACTCCATGGGTTTGAAATGAAATTAAAGTCGCTTAGTTGTGCCTGATTCTTTGTGACCCCATGGACTATACAGTCCATGGAATTCTCCAGGCCAGAATACTGGGTAGGCGTTCCCTTCTCCAGGGGATCTTCCCAACCTAGGGATTGAACCCAGTCTCCTGCATTGCAGGCAGATTCTTACATACTGTAATTTATTCAGACAATCTCCTAAGTTTGGAAATAGGTAGTTTCCCATATCCACAGTTATAAATAATGCTTACAATGAATAATCTTTATATATTTACTTTTATAGTGTTGGAAATATAGCTCTAGGGTAAATTCCTAGAATTAGGAAATCAAGTTGAAGAGTGTATGTGTGTGTAATTTTGTTAAATGTGGTGAGGTTACTCTCTATTATGGCATTTTGCTTGCTTGCCAGCAATGTATAGGAGTCCCTGTTCCCCCACAGCCTCACCAGCAGAGTGTATTATCAGGCTTTTGAAATTTGCCAGTCCATGGGGTGAAAATGTTATCTCAGTGTAATCTTAATTTATATTTTTCTTGTTATGAGTGAAGTCTAATAACTTTCTATTTTAAGGACTAGCTGTGAAACTTTTTTTGAATTTTCTTAAAGTCATTTCCCTATTCTGTAGATATTGTGGTTTCCCCCCTTATTTTTAAAAATACTTTGTATTTTAGTCCCCCTCTTTATTTTCCTGTTTTAATGTATATAAATATATAAAATATTTTATCTCAGTTTGCCATTTTCCTTTTGACTTTGCATATAACTGTCTTTTAAAAAAAATTTTTTTTAAACCAGGCAATAGCTTTCCCTACATCCAAGTTATAGAGGAATTCAGCTATGTTTTCTTCAGTAGTTTTGATTTTTTTCCTTTTAGATTTCTGATGCATTTGGAGTTTATTTTCTTGTTTGCTGTGAAGAATAAATCTAATTTGTCTTTTTCCAAATACTAACCCTCAATTATCTTGTTCTTGGATTTCTAAAACCTTTTTCCGGGGAGTGATTTTTTAAATTTTTTTTTTTTGAGATACATACATGTATGTGTTTAATATGCATGTGCACACACATACATAGGCACTATCATAAAGTTTAAAAATAGTACTAGTATGGGTAAAATTTTCTTCCCTTGACATGGATGAGGCTGGGCATATTATGAAATGCTAACTTCCATAGCAGTCAAGATATCTATAAAGATATTTAAAGATATTGACTACCTTTAGTGTGGTAAGGGGTGAGAGATCTGTCCCTAATTTGCTTTAGGGCAGCTCTTTAGAGTGAGGGGCATATCTTGGTCACTTGAGTGTTTGTACAGGACAGTTACAGAGGATAAGATGGTTGGATGGCATCACCGATTCAATGGACATGAACTTGCGCAAACTGGGAAATGGTGAGGGACAGGGGACAGGGAAGCCTGGTGTGCTGCAGTCTATGGGGTCTCGAAGAGTCGAGCACGATGTGGCAACTGAACAATGACAACATAAGGACAATTAATGGGGAATTAATTGCACTATGCAGGACAGTTAATGAAAAATTGCAGGAGTATCTTTGCAAAGATGTTGCTAAAATACATTTCATAATTTGTGGTTTTTGTTTGAGTGTTGCTTTAAGACTTTAGCTTTTAGTGCTTTTGTTTTAAAACTGGTGCTCAGTTAATCCTACTATTTGCAACCCCATGAACTGTAGCCCACCAGGCTCCTCTGTCCATGGAATTTTCCAGGCAAGAATACTGGAGTGGGTTGCCATTTCCTTCTCCAGGGAATCTTCCTCACCCAGGGGTCAAACTCACATCTCCTGCTTTGGCAAGTGGATCTTTTTTTTACCACTGGCTCCACCTTTAAAACGGATAATGGCCAGTAATTGTGGACAGGCAAGAGTATTTAAGCAGTTTGTCCTCTTTCCTGGGCCTTTTCTCTCTTTGATGGGTAGTACCTTCTGAAGGATTGGAGAAATAAGCAGCCCGGTGCTTTCCTCCATGGTCATAGTTTTTCACACACTATTGGCTATTTTTGTCCTTTTTCCTTTTTAGTTTTTGTTTGTCTTTAAATTTAAGTGTGTGCAATCCCTTTTCTGTTTTAAAGATATAAAATTGATATTTATTAGTTTCCTAAATGCTCTCCCCACAGACTACTTATGACTTGGGATATTTTCAAAGTTGTAGAGTAGGTTAGAGAACTTCTGGGAAGTTGAAAGGAGAGATGTAATCTTTTCCTACCTAAATACCTTTTCCTTTTTCATTTAGACAGTCTGCTGTCTTGTCTAGCATGACATTATAAGCTGCAGAAGCACACTGTTCATTTCTATTTTAGCAAATATATAGATTCTCATTGTAGTAAGGGTTTTTTTTTTTTTTTTTTTTTAAGTTTTGCATCTCCATTTTTCCAAGGGAGAAGATACATATCTTGGATCAGCTCTCAGTAATTAGAAAGTACTGCTATTCTAATATGAACATCACTAAAGGAATGATGAGGATGCATCAGTTGAATACCTATAATGTCACAGGCTGACCTGTGAGGTGATATAAGACTTGTGAATGGTATATAACTCTTAACTGAGTGTGTAGCCTTACTTAATCTAATTTAATAACAAATTTTTACTTTCGTGTATCTAAGTAGCAGCCTAATAAATGTTTACTTCAGTTGCTGCTGATCCTAGAGGAGGTGGTCTGCTTATAGACCACCGTAACAGCAGAGAGAGTGAGCTTTAAGTCCTTACTCTTATCAGTTACTATGTGACTTTGAGTAAAATTCTTAACTGGTCTGGGCCTCAATTTCATCATTTGTAAAACTGTAGTAAGTAATATATTGTGAGGGTAAATGAGGTAATATATGTATATGAACTTCTTAGGAAATTGTGTGATGCATGGTAGACAGTGAACTGTACTGTTTATCATTTTTTAATTATTTTGTTAAGCACTGAGATCCTTTTTGGTGAAAGATGTTAGATACAGCCAATATTGAATTGTTACAATGAATAATTTGGCTATGAGTTCATTTCCTAGTTCCTTCTTTGACTGATTTCCAAGATATTCATAATTTGCAACTATTAGCAAATTATGGCAGCAAAAAACGTAATTGAGGGTTAAAGTTGTAAACTTCTGTTTCCTTGTTTATGATGAAAATAATTGGCTAGGTGTCTGCCCGTGTCTGCAGGTGCAGTGACATCGCTGTACAGACATAGCTCAGACTCCTTTTCCTTTCTCCTTTCTCAAATGAATCAGCTCCTGTAGTGCAGAGGCTGGTTGTGTATTCCTTGGCTGCTTCTGCCTTCAGGTGGCCCATAGGTGTCAGGAAAAGAGTAAAATTTTAAAATTCTATCATTGCACAATGATAGATGTGAGAGTAAGGTGTTGAGATACCCACTGTCCTAGCTCTGTGTAGAGAAGAGGAAGTTAGGACAGAGACAATGGATCTCTGTAGGTCTTTCAATAGTTTCTGCTTCCCATTTGATTGACCACTCTGTAGTCCCATTTTTGGTAGAATTTCTGTTTTCTGGCATTATCCTTTTGCACAAGCTGCCAGTTTATTAGAGTTCTATGTATTTTGTTTTCTTCTTTTAGGGTAACATAGGTGAAGTAGTATCACAATTTTTCCTCCTTTTCTTTCAGCAAAACCAAAGCCCAGTTCTGATTTTCACATTTTGTATAGCTTTCCACTTAAATCTCTACGGGTGAAAATCATAAATTAGTTTCTCCATGATAAAGTTCAGTTATGTGTCCGTTTGCCTGTAAGATACTGCCCGAACCTTAAACTGGTTACTGTTTAAGTAATAAGAAATTAAAACACTGGTTTACTAGTCTGGATCACACTGTGGTATTTTTACACTTGATACCATAATGAGAAATTGGGTGAATTGCATTATCTGCCCCCTCAACACTTCACCCCTCCTTTTTTATTACCCCTTCTTCCACCAAAAAGCTTCCAAGGAAACTCCATCTGAGGTATAGCTAAATGCAAAAATGCTTCAATTTAATTGAAATAAAATGAGATGATTAACAATGATTACCCAGTGACCAGAGAAGCTAACTTATAGTGATTTTTTTTAAAACTTGAAAAAATTTAAAGAGTACAAAGTTAACTAACAGATGTAGTCTAACAGATTATTCATCTCCTTTCAGCAGTGTACTCTAAATTGGGTCTTCTCAAAGCTCACTCTAACCAAATGGATAAGGTTCTGTTTAAGGAAGCACAGGAAAGCTTTTCTGTTCCCCTTGACAACTAGTTCTTCTAGGTGAGTATCTGCCTTAATTGGCAGAATTGTAGTAATGCCTCATAATTTGGATGAAGTGATTTTTTTTTTTTAATCAGTATTTCAAGTCATTACGTATAGTATCTTTCCTAAATTCTGACTGTTCCATATATAGGCTAAGGATTAGGGGGTCTTACTTTACCTCCTCAAACAAATGCTTCTTGTAGTTCGTATGGGGGAACCTAGGTTTTGATTTCTGCTGTGCTGTTAGTCTTCCATCTCTCTTGCTCACGGCTCCACTAGGAAGTAGTCAGTTATTTTTCATTGAGCAAAGTATTTTTAAGTACATGTTACTAAATTATGTTTTAAATGACTATGGAAGGATCACGATTTATAGATCTATATCTATATAGATACATAGGTCTATATCTATCCATAAATCTTAAAACAAGATTTATAGATCTTGACCTTCTGGAGGCACTACCCATCTTAATTTTAGAGATTGCATTTCAAAAGGATAGAATGGGAAGAGCCCTAGTTATTTCCTCATATCCAAGTTCGTCCATCGTCTAAGTATATGTTTCTGTTTATTTCTGATTTCATATTGACTGGCAGATCTTTCTGCAGTAAAGCTATTAGGATTTACCCAACCACTAAGAACATTTTTAGTTCGGGTAATTTAAAAAGTGAAGTTCACTGAAAAGAACAGGTATTAACTTTGTGAATTTTTGTTCTTAAACAATTTAAAAATATTATTACCTTTCGTTTTTCATTAAGGGTTTCATTAATTTTTAATTTCTATTAGGATTTTTTTCCATATAAACTGGTCATACCTACCAAGTTACTTAGTCTTCTTAGATTGGATTAGGCCATTTGTTTTTTCTTTGTATATAGCACTAGGTAAAAAGATTTGTTGTATTAACTATTTTTATTTATGTCTGATAATAGTTATTCAGAAATTTGTATTTACAGTTTAAAATGAGATAATTCCCTCACTGATTATAGGAGTAACTGTTACTTGTCCTCATATTTTAATTTTTGTAACAGTTAATCTCTTATATATTAATTATGCCCTCTTTAAGTTTTATCTGAAACTCTGACTTCAGTGAGAATTAAGCTCAATTGTCAGAACTTACTTATTGCCAGCTCTTTGTGTAGCAGCCTTATAAGTTTATTTGTAAGAAGGGAGCAAGATGCTTTTATATAGACTTCTCAAAAATAAAAGGAAAATGTCTAAACACCTTATTTTCACCAAAAAAATGAATAATTTCCCCAAAGTAGTGCTGGGAATTTTCAAGTAGTAATGCCAGGACATATATTAATTCCTTGCTTTCTAACCAGGGTGATGAGCACAGGTTAGGAGTTTGTTTTTTCATCCTGAACCAAGGTCATTCCAGGGTACTCTGCCTACAGCTAGTTTGTAAGAATCTGGATCAGATTAAATAGAGGAAGAAATAAGAATCTGGGACTTTCTGGTTAACAAATCACAATTGTGTGATTTTTTTCAGGTGGCCTTCTGATAGCTTCTGCTCATTTTGGTGCATACGTATATGGGACAGATATAGACTACAATACTGTTCATGGCTTGGGTGAGTAGTGGTTCTAGACAGTGTTATAGTCTTTCCTCTATAACAAATGAGCAAATGAGTCTTTGCTCTTGTACCAAATGTGCCTTTAAAATACCTAAATAATTATGTATGGCGTTATACATCTGTTTTTAATGTTAAAATATAGAGTTGCGATATAATATAATTTTATTTTTACAACAGTAAGACATTTCATTGGGTATCTGCTTTTCATGAAGTTATCCAGTGAGCAAAATGACCTCCCAGGGGAACCAAAGATTAATAACAAAAAGCCCTTCTCTCAGAGCTATTTTTGGTCTTAGATTTTTAAAAAGTAGGCAATCAATAAGATTGTAAAACTTTAGGGCTGGGAAAGAAGTAGGAGAGGGACTAACTAAGCCTTTTGTAATTAGTGTATTCACCTTAGTAAAACATAGTTTCTACTTGAAAATTATCACCATTCTTTTGTTTAGCAGTCTATTACGTGTATACTTGATTAAGTACTCTAGTCCTTGAGTACCGTATATGTTTTTGATTTCATAATTGACCAAAACATCTTCAAAGCAGTTAAGGTGACGATAACTTTAAAGGTCTGCATTAGACTGAGAGTAACGTGAAATACGCATCGGCTTGCTTTTGAGGCAATTTTGGAAAATATTTTTAAAATCTAGAAGCTACGCTAATGAAGTGTGATTGCATGAAATTGAATCAATCTAAAAATATTTCTTTATACCTGAATAGTGTTAAAAATGTAAAGTTTCTTTGATTTTGAAATTATATTTATGTTATTGTTTCATCGTTGTAGCTAAAATCAGCCTGTAAAACATGCTTTTTATTTTTCTCACCCAGTGTAAATTACTCTGTAGGTGAGAATTTCCTTTTCTTGAAGTAATTTGATATATTGTATTTGATGAACTGCCTTTTTTCCTACCTTGACTGTAAGGAATTTAGTACTATAATGAGAATGAATAACATTTTATAAAGTTCACCTAAATGGGCTAACTAGAAAAAGATAGTCTCTGTTTGTAGTATTTTAGCATAGAGTGCCAAGAATTGTTCTGTTTGCTCTTAGTACAAACAGTATGTTTGCTTTAAGAATATTGTCCTCTGTGCTTCAGTTTAAATTTTATTTTTATAGCTCTAATGAGTTATATTTAAAAGTTATGTGATAACCTCTCAGTCTGCTTGGGTAGAATTCTGATTGAGGTAGAATTTCCTCAGAGCTTATCCAAGGTGCTGTTAGATTTGCCCTGTTTCCTGTGCTTCTCATCTCTTACTATACTCTCAAAATTTCTTCCAAATTTCTTCTATTTTAAAAATGCAAAACTTTTTCTATCAGCCCTATAGAGGCCCTCCTCCTAGCTACTACTTTGTTTTCCTCTTCTGTTTGCCAAAGTGCTTCTTAAAAAGACTAGTATTTACTTGTTATTTCCTCTTTTTCATCTCCTAACTGTCTTCTGCCTGTTCTTTTCCAGCTTCCGTGCTTACTGAAAACTCAGGCCACAGGTCTACAGTATTTGGCAGTGTTGACCTTCACAATGCCTCCCTTGGTTTCCTAGACAGTGACTTCATTGGGTGGTACTTTGATTTCTTTGTCTGTTTCTTTCTCAGTTTCCTGAAGGCCCTGTGGTTTTCTTCAGTGTCTATTTACATGTTGCTTTTCTCCAGGCATCTCTGTTGGCCCCTTCTATCACATTACATACTGTGCAGAGTCATGCCGTTCATCTTCTTTTAATTTTTAGGTTTTGTTTTTATTGTGAAGTAGATCATAATACAGAGGAGCTTATAAAAATAGAGAAATTATAGAACAAATATATAACTGCCACTTACATTAATAAAAAATATCATTCATTCTTATACGTTTGGCTTAAGTTTATTTACTGATACCTCCCAGTGTGTATATATATTCTGGCCTTTAGCTCCCTGCTGAATATCTCTTTCTGAATCTTCTATAGTACCTCACGGTATATCGAGATTGATGTATCTCAAATGAATTTCATCTTTTTTCCTAGGCTTGTTTTTCTTCTTGTTTTCTCAGATCTTAATTGATGATGTCATCATCGCCTCTTGTCTCCTAAACTAAAACTTTTGAACTTCCCTTGAGCCCCCACTTTAACCTTTCATATCTCCTGTCTCCCTTTTACTTCCTCTCTCCATGGTCACTGCTACTGCATTTCCGGAGTTAGCTCTCTTCATTTCTGCTCCATTTACCTGGTTCATCAGTATTTCTTCATTGCTAGAGGAAAAGGACCATGTTCTATTCAGCCCTATGTCTGTTTTTTTCATTTATTTATTTTTAATTGAAGGATAGTTGCGTTACAGTATTGTGTTGGTTTCTGCCAAACCAGCCCTGTATCTTTATTAGTGTGCTTTGAATGCATTAATTATTGAGTGAGTGTTTCAAGACCGTTTTACATGAAAGGATAATTAGACAACACTACAATTTACTGTTCAGAATATTTTTTATAATAAGTTAAAATAAAAATAATTGTTCATTTTTATAAATAAAGTTAAAATTTTAAACAAAAGCAGGTTCTGTTTGAGTTAATGTAGGTTTGGATGAGCTAAGCATTGCTTTTAGCTAAGTGACAAGAGTTAAGAATGTTGTTTGTTTGTTCTGTTTTCCTTTTTCTTTCCCTTTAGGAAAGGCAAGTAGGAAAAACCAGAAATGGAGAGGACCGGATGAAAACATTAGGGCAAATCTTCGTCAGTATGGTTTAGAGAAGTATTACCTTGATGTCCTGGTTTCAGATGCATCTAAACCTTCATGGAGGAAGGGCACATATTTTGATGCAATCATCACTGATCGTAAGTATGTTTTTATACCAAAGTAAGAGTAGCATTGCGTTCCTAAGGTCTTTTACATTTAATGTACAAAATGTATAAGTACAACAAAAAAAGAGCCAACTTGTACTAGCATTCCCCCTACTCCTGACTTCTTCACATTGTGAGAAGGAAAAAATGATAAATGTAGGGCAGGACACCAATTTAACTACATGGTTTTGTTTTTCTAAACTATGTATATTAACTTGTCACCCCTTTTTTCTCTTCAACTTATTTTCAAGACATAAATTTGTTTTTATATTTGTTTTATGTTTAACTGTAGTTGGTTGTTACTATACCAACTAGAGCCAAAATATCATTTGCAATTATGGGATCAGATTTTGGAGAAGAAAGTTTCAGGTATCTCAGACTTTCTGTGTCTGACTTTTTGTGTTTGTTGTTGTTGTTATGCCCATTGTAACTGGCATCTTCTTCCTAGAGCTATAAGAAATCTGGAGTTCTGTGAACCACTGGGATTGTGAACCCACTGAGCTGCAGGAGTGTGCACGGGAACTTGTTTTCTCTTGCCTTCTGAGTTGTTGGGCTTTTCAGGCATCCTGTCTAAGAATAGATCTGCCTTTTCTGTAGTCTCTGACTGTAAATCTGTACATAGTGGCAAGCTGTATCTCACCCCTTCCATCTCAGACCTCTTCAGTTCTTTGGTAACTTAGGTGGTTTCAGATCCACCAAAAGGAAAATTATCAAGGCATTACAATGATAGCTCAGTTGGTAAAGAATCCGCTTGCAATGCAGGAGACCCTGGTTTGATTTCTGGGTCGGGAAGATCCACTGGAGAAGGGATAGGCTACCAACTCCAGCATTCTTGGGCTTCCCTTGTGGCTCAGCTGGTAAAGAATCTGCCCACAATGCAGGAGATCTGGGTTTGATCCCTGGATTGGGAAGATCCCCTAGAGAAGGGAAAATCTATCCCCTCTAGTATTCTGGCCTGGAAAATTCTATCGACTACATACAGTCCATGAGTTCTCAAAGAGTTGGGCACGTTGTAAAGTCACTATGAATATACTTAGGGAAATTGGGTGGCTTTTTTTTTTTTTTTTGGCTATGCAGGTCTTAGTTGTGGGAACTCTTAGTTGTAGCATATGGGATCTAGTTCCCTGACCGGGGATTGAACCCGGGCCCCCCACACTGGGAGTGCAGGGTCTTAGCCACTAGACCACCAGGGAAGTCCCGGAAATTGGGTGGCTTTTTATTTATAACCTACGGTATTACTTGCTGTCACTCTACATGTATTTATAAAAATATGTAGTTTTGTTCCTGATCAGTTGAGAGTAAGTTGTGTCCATCCTGGCCCTTTACCTTCCTACACTCCAGTGTGTATTTCCTAAGAATAGGGGTAGGCTCTCAGATAGCCAGAGAGCATGCATGCTCAGTCCTGTCCAACTCTTTGCAATCCCATGGACTGCAGCCCGCCATACTTCTCTGTCCACGGGATTATCCTAGTGAGAATAACTGGCGCAGGTCACCATTTCCTCCTCTAGGGGACCTTCTCAACCCACAGATCGAACCTGTGTTCCTGCATTGGCAGGCGGATTCTACCACTGAGCCTGGAAAGCCCTAGATAGCTAGAGTACAGTTATCAATTCCAGTGAGTCAGTGCAGTGCTTTAACCTGTAGTTTCTCATCCAGTTTTGTCGGTTGACCCAGTAATACTCCTTTATAGCGTGTTTTTCCCTGAAGTACAGCATCCACTCTAATATCAGGCATTGCTTTTAGTAGTCATATCTTTAAGGCCTCCTTTAATTTGTAGCATTTCCACAGCCTTCCTCTGTCTTTCATGACGTTGACATTTTGAAGAACACAGTCACCTGCCTGCCTGCCCTCCCAGTGTCAGCGAGAGTGTCCCTCTCATTTGCGTTCTCCGCTGGAATGTTGCACAGGTGCTGTGTTCTTCCTGGATGTCACGTCTGGAGGCACGTGGTGTCCACCTGCTTGGCAGTGGTGATGGGGTGACTTTTGACTGTCCGTGTTTCTTGCACTTTCTCTCTAGCTCCATATGGTATTAGAGAATCTACAAGAAGAACAGGTTCCCAGAAGGAAATACCAAAGGGAATAGAAAAATGGTAAGTGAATATTAAATATGATATATTACCACCTTGGGAAGAAGCATATTGCTTCTTTTCAATTAACTGAGTTTAATAGTGTTAGTTTTTCACTGGTTTTTAAGTTTTTCACTGATTCTGAAATTTTGTTTTGTCTAGTCCAGAAAGCCATGTTCCTGTTTCCTTGAATTATCATCTGAGTGATATGTTTTTTGACCTGTTAAACTTCTCAGCAGAGACCCTCGTATTAGGTGGAAGACTGGTCTATTGGTTACCAGTATACACACCAGAGTATGTAATAATAATAATTTTACTTTTAATTTCATTTTTATTATGGTGTTTGTGTATATAACATGCTTTTTTTCCCTGTCTCAAATCATATTCAGAGTGAATATCTTTGTGTTTAATGTGTACAATAGTCTTTATTTAACAACACGTTGTATAAAACAGGCCCCTTCCTCTTATTGATTGAATTGCTTTGAACTTTTTATTTTACATCAGGGGTTGGCAAATTATAGCCTGTGAGCGTGATATGATCTTTAGCCTGTTTTTGTAAGGCAGTTGAGTTAAGACTGGTTTTTACCTTTTTCAAGGGCTGTTAAAGGGGAAAAAGGCAATGAAAAAGAATATGTGTAAGAAGCACACGTGGTCTATAAGGCTAAAATATTTACTGTCTGACCTACTGTAAGTGCAAAAGTTTGCCCTTGTTGTTTATCACTCTTAGTTCAGGGTCTATGTGTCAGCTGTTCATTAGCTCTTTTGCCAGGCCACAAACCTGGGTAATTTTTAACAACTTAGCTGAGTAATTAATCTATTTACTGCCTGTTAGCTTTAATATATGTTGGCTCTTGTGATCATCTTAAAAAACTAAGACCAAAATAAGAGCTTTGCATATATTTAAAGCCCTGATTATGTTCAACATTAGTGGTTTGGGTTTTATTATTCAGTAATTATTAATTTCAAACAGAGTTATGTACACCAACAATGAAAGACAAGATGTGTTGAACAAAATAGAATCTTTAGAGTTGAAAAGCAGTATCAAGCTCAAGATTTGGCTATTCAATCTGCTATAGAAACCCTTTCTTAAAAATTATTTTAATGTCTATATTTCCTATATATAATTATTCAAAGAGCATTTTAGAACAGTTTTATCTTGTTTGTGTTTTTGTAATGGTGGATGGTCTTTCAGCAGTTGGAAGCTATGCTTTTTTGTTTTTTTATAATTGTCACATTGGGAGCTACATGCGCTAACTTTAGTCTTGTATTTTGTTTATTGGCTAATAAGACTGTGCACATTTATATCTGAACCCCTTAACACTGGGCTTATGTTCTGTTAAGAAATTAATCGTTTCTTAATTTTAGAAATGTGAGAAGTTAATTCTAAGGAGTGAAATGACTTGTCTAAAGTTAAAAGCTGACTAGTTCATTGGTTTCATTATTCCTTGTGCTGTGTTCACTTAATTCAACATCCTGCCAAGATCTCGGGTACCTGAGATCTTGGTATGTGAAATGATAGATGAGGTTTTATTAATATTTTCAGAAAAGAGCATGTTTGCTTATTTCTATGCAAAAGTGGTTTCTGCCTTCAGTTCAGTTCAGTCACTCAGTCGTGTCCAACTCTGTGCCACCCCATGAATCACAGCATGCCAGGTCTCCCTGTCTATCACCAACTCCTGGAGTTTACTCAAACTCATGTCCATTGAGTCGGTGATGCCGTCCAGCCATCTCATCCTCTGTCGTCCCCTTCTCCTCCTGCCCCCAATCCCTCCCAGCATCAGGGTCTTCTGCCTTAGACAAGCTAAATTCCAGCAGCAAGCTTCCTTGTCTTTTTGTTTTAATTCAAGTTTCAGGACTGAATTTTTTAATAATTTATTTTGAAATAAACTTAAAATTTATAGAAAAGTTTCAAATACAGCACAAAAAGCTCTAATTCCTCCCCTCATCTACATTTTCCAACTGTTCACATAACCTCCTCTACCCTTGTTTTCTCACATGTTACATTAATGCCCATTGTCATTAATCTTTTTTGGAACTGTTTGAGAAGTTGCAGATATGATTTCCCATCACCCCTACGTATTTCATTGCATTTCTCAGTAGCAAGAGCATTCTTGTGAAATCACCATCAAGCCCCAAAGTCTGGAAACAGCATTGATAGTGCTTCTGTCCCATCTTGGACCCCTTCAGATTTTACTGATTATAGTCTCTCCAGGAAAATGTACTGCATTGATCCATCATGTCATTCTCCTCTAGTCTGGAATACTTTCTCAGTCTTTTCCTTATCTTTTGTGTCCTTAAGAGTTGTACAGTACATGGCTTATTTTTTGAAGGTTGACCTTTAACCAGGTCCATCCGATGTTCCTTCCGTGACCAGACTCTGGTAATGCTCTTGGGAGGAATACCACAAAAATGATAACCGTGTTCTTAGTGCATTGCATTATGGGTCACACAGAGGCAGCCCCTCCTGGAGATCTTAATTATCTGGTCATGTTGTTCCATCAAGTGGAGAAACTTAATCATTTCTGATAAAGAAATATCAGAACTCTGATAAAGAAAGTGATTTACCATTTTCTTTTCAACTAGTATGTTCCAGGGGACGGTAACCCAGGATACACCAATATCTTGTTTTATTGTTGACAAGCACCATAATGATGGGTTTGCTATTCCATCATTCCTTCTGCATTTGTAAGTTGGCATTCTATAAGGATTAATTTCCCCTTCCTTCCCATTAATTTGTTGATTTATATTGGTATGGAGTCAGAGATTCCAGTATTATTCATTGGGTTATAATTTAATTCTATCATGATTTTGTTACTCAAATCGTCCTAGATTTGAAACTATGGGAGTCCCTTTGAGGTGGCTGCTCTGTCCTTTTGAAATATCCTCATTAGTTTTCGTGTTTCTTATTTTCTGGCATTTTTTGACTTTCCACTGTTTTGTAGTTTATTATTTAATTATAATTGAAATTAAGTATGGTTATGAGTATGTTTTATAATTCTTTTTATGTTGTTATGAAAAGTCAAATTGGAGGCACTTAAAACTATTTTACTATTTCTGAAGATCTTAAAAAATGGCTAGGGTATTTCTTCAGGGACTTCTCTTTTAATAGTTTTTGACAAGGGGAAATTTCCAAGTTCATATCACCAAAGGGATTTTTTAGAAGTAAAAAGGAGGCAGGTTTTTATCACTTCTTTTTTTTTTTAAGCTTTAGATGTTTTTTCAAAGGGCAAATTTCATCCAGGCTAGGAGACAAATAGGAAGACTTCTGTGGCATTTACTTCCCTGACTGACTTGTCTGAGAGAGTTATTTCCAGATCTTCCAATGTTCGTTACTAGACTTCCATTGTGCCTTCTCCTCCTCCTTCCACTGTGTCTTAACCTGAAGTGATCTTATTAATGAACTTAATTTGTCATGAGTTTATATTAGTGAATGAACTGTTTTCACCTTTGCAGCAAACATAACCCAAAATCTTTACTGTTTCTGTTAGATGAACTTAAAACTAAAGTCATCTGCGAAAGTTTGAAATATTATTCTTGCTTTTGAGTTAAACAATGTAGAATTAGTTTGGTTATGTTTTTTATTAGACTGGGAATAAAGAATTCATTTTAAAACTGTGCCTTGGCACAGCTTAATTGGAAAACTTTTATATTTTTGGTATAGTGCTGTTGGCTTTTAGTCCTACTGTTGAATTCATTTACTCAACCAAATCCTGTTAATATGATTGAAGTTTAAAAATAAGAATTGCACATTATAATCAAGTTAAGGTATTATTCATTAAACCCAGAACACTTTTATGTTTTTTAAACCTGGGACATTTTGAAAGTTGTAAGGCATAATAAAAACATCACAGCTTAGTTATTTGTGAAGAATTATCAAAACTGATGATTGAAAAAGGATTTTTTCACTGTTTGACAATTTAAATTGTGGTGAAGAAACTGCTGCTCAACAAATTCTGCTTCGTCTAGACCAGATTCTTCCTGCTCTAGTATATTGGATTTGGGGCCTGCATCAAGACACTCTGTACTCTTTATATCCTTTCACCTTTTTTATTTTGTCCCTTTTGCTTGATATACTCTTTCTTCTTTCCTCAGCTGTAAAATTCTGGTAATCTTTTAAGACCAGGCTTAATTGTTATGACCTCTGACACTTTCCCAACGCTTCCCAGCAGAATACATCAGTCTAGCATCTGTGTTCTTCTAGTAGTTTACTCCTATTACTCATAGAAACTTATCATATAAAGTTACTGTTGACTCTTGGTATTTGTGAGTTTATTCACAATTTCAACTGTTTACAAATGACCCTGAAGATCTGTGTAACATTCATTTGGTCAGGGCATACATTCAACTTGTGTGTTTGATGTTATAGAAGTTGCTCACCTGTTGAGTGACTGTAGCTTCTTGTCCAGGTTCCACATAACTGTATGAAATGATTAGGAACTGTGTTTCTTTGTGAAAGATGTCCTTTCATAGAAATCCAACTGCTAAGCTTGTGATAAAAATGATGACAAAGTGAAGAAGTCTGATAAAGGACTCCAGAGTAGGATTTGGGGGCAAATTTTAATTATGATAGAAATGAATTTTGTGGTGGCTCAGAGCAGTGAACAGACATATTTTTCATTTTTCATCTGGGAAACAGAAAAAAATGATTCTTTAAGTTGTTTTCAGTAAGTGCTCCAATCACAAAATCTGTGTCTCAAATGGGAAGTGCAACTCTAATGACATTTGGAAATAGTCTGAGGCGTGAAGATTCACAGGAAGATAAATGACTGTCAGAACTGATTGATGGAGAAAAGCTGTGTATAAATATAGGGTTTTTTTTTTCTTTTTTAAAAAAAGTTGATATTTAATTTGTATCCATGAAAATCACAATTTTATTTTATTTTTAAATAAGGTTGAATTTGTTATAATATTGTTCTTCATATTTTGGTTTTTTTGGCCACGAGGCATGTGGAATCATAGCTCCCCCAACCAGGGATCGAACCCACACCCCTAACATTGGGAAGCAAAGTCTTAACTATTGGACTGCCTTGTCAGCCCAGAAAAATCACAGGTTTTAAGTGTGGAACCCCACAGTTTTTAGCATAGCCACAAGGTTATTTAACCATAGCTGCTGTCTAATGCCACAATGTTTTTATCATCCCCTAAAGAAACTCCATTCACACAAACAGTCTCTCCTGCTGATTTCCTTTCCAACCATTTATCTGTCTCTGTGGATTTACCTATTCTAGCTGACTATTAACTATGTGGATTTTTAAATAGTTGCTTGTATCATAGGGGGATAGTAGTAAAAACAGAATTAAGATAAGTTACCATTCCATCATCATAATCTGGGCATAGTACAGATTTATAGCTCCTACTTAACAGATTGCAAACAATCCATTGGTATGAAGTATATTAATAAATATATAGTAGATGATTTTAAATGCTGTTTTTAAACTTTTTTAGTACATTTTGGAAGTACATGATTAAATTTATTGGCTCATTCAAGACTAGTAAGTTAAAAACAAGTTTGTTAATGATAATGATAACCTAAATGATGTCCTTTCCTGCTCAAACTCAAAGATCAAGTAAAAAAATAATCTAGAATATGTAAATATGTTTTTCTGCTGTTAAGCCAAATGCCAGTCACTTAGTTTTACCAGTTTAATATTCAGTTCAGTTCAGTTCAGTCGCTCAGTCATGTCTGACTCTTTGCGACCCCATGAATCACAGCACTCCAGGCCTCCCTGTCCATCACCAACTCCCGGAGTTTACTCAAACTCATGTCCATTGAGTTGGTGATGCCATCCAGGCATCTCATCTTCTGTCACCCCCTTCTCCACCTGCCCCCAATCCCTCCCAGCATATTTTATTCATGTCATAAATGTGTGGGTTTTGTCCTTTGATTTATAGATTTATCTTGGGTTTTATAATTATACAGATTATATAAGCATGAGGAATTTATATTTGTATACATTTAAATAGCATTTTAACAATAATACCTTGTCACTTTGCCAGAAAATAAGATTCTTTCCTTTAAAAAGGGTGCATTACTAAATTTGACAGTTTCAGACATCTAGAAGCCCTGCTGCTTGCAAGCCTAAGATCAGAACTATATTTTCTTTCTGTTATCATTATTTTAGTCTGTCAACTATGATATAGAATGTATTCTTTCATATCATAAATGCCTTGTATGAAGTCTCCAAATTTGACTCAGCTGATGTTATAAGAGCACATTTCTGATTGTGTAGTTAGCATTAGAGGATTGTGGGGTGAGATGAAATCCAAAATGGTCATTACTTGTTGGAAAGCCCTGGGGAAGGAGGCAGAGAATGACTTCAAGAGAATTCTTTCCACTGATAATGAAGTGAGGTGCATTATGAATGTCGTTTGGTAAGTGGGTGGTGAAGGTTCTGAGCAAGTGGTCAAGGTGGTGAGGGAGAGCTTGTTGAAGGTCACGGGGACCTATACAAATCAGTTAGAGGGGTGGGGGAGACAGTCTTTAAGGGATCAGAGGGGGATAAAGGGGATCAAAGCTTTAAAATTTCCCATATAAGAAATGTTTGCAGAAACTGTGTATCTAGAAAGGTATGAAGATTTAAAAAGAAAACAAAAACTGGCAATCCCGGTGTTCTTAAAGGTGCGCATACCTAGGGAGCCCTCTTTCCTACTGTTCTTCTGAATTCTGCTCCATAACTATTCCCCCCACATTTGTTACCTGCTGCTTCTACCTAGATTGATGCCAAAAGCCTGTTCGACGTCAGGTTGTGAACTCCTGCAGCCGGACTGCTGTGCTTTTTGGTGTCCTCTTCACTCACCAAGTACAGTACATGTGTGGCACGGCAGCGGGGACCACCGCTCTTCATCGTGACGGGTTCTATTTTGTGGCAGAGGATTGATGTCCTCTGTCGTGTTCTGGCGGTAGTTTGTCTCAATTATCTTTACATAAAAAAGTTATTAGAGGTCTCAAGATGTCATTAAAATTTTGCATGGACATTTCATTTTAAAGGGGAAAACATATGGTGTAGTGGACTTTATATTTGGGGAATTTATAAAAATCCCTAGCTGAATCAGTCTGTCAGGAATGTCAGAGAGTTGTTGTGTACTGTATTTGTGTTCTTGCAGGATCCTTTAGGGTCGAATTGTCATCTTGTATTTTTGTGGTTTAAATGCTTGGCATTCTTCAATAAAATCGTATCGGTATTCTCATATTATACAGGTAAAAAATTAAACTGCTGCTTTTTAAAAATGCAGATGGTTTATGGATTATGTGGACAGTTAGCATATGTGAAATGAAATGGTGCAGCCTGTAGGGGGAGGCGGTCCCATTCCACACTGGATCAACCCCCTTGATGGCCTTGTGCGGGATACACCTGTGAGGCTTCGTAACCGCCAGCTCTTCTCTCTGCAGATACACCGAGGAGATGGTACCCTGGCACCCCTGCTTGAGGCTCATCAGCAACTGTGAGCAGAAGCTTTCCAGTCACACATCAAGGCGCTTGATAACAATGGAAAAGGTGAAGGAGTTTGAGGTGAATTATCCAAGTTTTTTTTTGTTTTTTTTTCAGATAAATTCCAGAAGAATTAGACATAGATTTTTCTAATTTCCTCTAATGAAGTTTGGTTAATGTTAGTCCTAGGTTTTTTTAAGTTTTTAATGAATTCAGAAGGAGGCAAAAGTTGAACAGGTTTGTGGCATTTGGTGGGGTTGGAATAGAACATAGAAACTGAAGAATACAAAGAATGGTTGACCTTTATTTTTTGGGCTGTGTTTGTTATCCTTGGGCTTACTTAGTTATAGAACAGAGCACTGTTAATTAAACAACCAAGGTGTAATTAGCAATGTACTAGTTACCCTTTTTCTTCAAAAGCAGAACCTGCTTGACTGCAGACTTTACTGAAGAGAAAATGTCACTTTATATAAAGGAGAAGGACCCATCTGTTAGGGTCCAACATGTGTTACCCCTCTTTCGTGCTTTCTCTCCCACACACAATTCATTTCAGGTTGAAAAGAAAGAACAAAACATGTGTTATTTCATACCAAGATCAGAATTGATATGAATAATGCCTCCTCATGGAGCTTAATTAAATCTGCAGAATTCATCTTGGTCTGTACAGATCTTGATTAACAACCAAAGCACTTCCATATTCACTTGGGTAAGCCCCATGAGTGCTTTGGATCTGGAGGGCAAGCAGAGAAGAATAGAGTGTTACTGCCTGAGGATTTTGTCTTACTCGTCCTTAATTCTGCATTTCATTCTTTTCATGTGCTTCACAGCTTATGGATTCTTTCACAATAAAAAAGACTAATATTTGTACAGTGCCTTTTGCATATGTTATTCTACATAGTTCTTGTTTTTTTTCCTTTTAATTTCTTTTTCCTATCTGTCGCTAATACAGGCCCTTGTTAGCATATACCTGGTTTATGCTGATAAGCTCCTAAATTAACCTCTCCTCCTACTTTTCATACCTCTAGTTCTTATATGTTAAATGTCCGTGCGTGCTAAGACTCTTCAGTTGTGTCCGACTCTGCGACCCCATGGACTGTGGCCTGCCAGGCCTCTTCTGTCCATGAGATTCTCCAGGCAAGAATACTGGAGTGGGTTGCCATGCCCTCCTCCAGGGGAGTCTTCCCAACCTAGGTATTGAACCTGCGTCTCTTAAATCTCCTGCATTGATAGGCAGCTTCTTTACCACCAGTGCCACCTGTGAAGCCCTATATGTTAAATAAATCTTCCTAATACACTGCGTTGGTTAGGTCAATTCTTTATGCAAGAATTTTAGTGACTCATTTTTATTACAGAGTGAGGTTCAGAATCTTCAGTATGACATTTTTCTCAATAATTGGGCTTTAGTAGCAGGGCATTTCTGAAAGCTAAGATGTGTGTATATACACACATATATATATGTGTATCAGTTCAGTTCAGTTCACTTGCTCAATCATGTCCAACTCCTTGTGACCCCATGGACTGCAGCATGCCAGGCCTCCCTGTCCATCACCAGCTCCTGGAGTTTGCTCAAACTCATGTCCATTGAGTCAGTGATGCTATCTAACCATCTCATCCTCTGTCATCCCCTTCTCTTCCCGCCTTCAATCTTTTCCAGCATGAGAGTCTTTTCAAATGAGTCAGCTCTTCGCATCAGGTGGCCAAAGGCTTGGAGTGTCAGCCTTCAGCATCAGTCCTTCCAATGAATATTCAGGATTGATTTCCTTTAGGATGGACTGGTTGGATCTACTTGAAGTCCAAGGGACTCTCAAGAGTCTTCTCTAACACCACAGTTCAAAAGCATCAATTCTTCGGTGCTCAGCTTTCTTTATAGTCCAACTCTCACATCCATACATGACCACTGGAAAAACCATAGCTTTGACTAGACGGACTTTTGTTGGCAAAGTAACATCTCTGCTTTTTAATATGCTGTCTAGGTTGGTCATAACTTTTCTTCCAAGGAACAAGCGTCTTTTTATTTCATGGCTGCAGTCACCATCTGCAGTAATTTTGGAGCCCCCAGAAGTAAAGTCTGTCACTGTTTCCACTGTCTCCCCATCAATTTGCCATGAAGTGATGGCACCAGAGGCCATGATCTTAGTTTTCAGAATGTTGAGCTTTAAGCCAACTTTTTTCCTGTCCTCTTTCACTTTCATCAAGAGGCTTTTCATTTCTTCTTTGCTTTCTGTCATAAGGGTGGTGTCATCTGCATTTCTGAGGTTATTGGTATTTCTCCCGGCAAACTTGATTCCAGCTTGTGCTTCTTCCAGCCCAGCATTTCTCATGATGTACTCTGCATATAAGTTAAATGAGAAGGGTGACAATATACAGCCTTGACTTACTCCTTTCCCGATTTGGAAGCAGTCTGTTCCATGTCCAGTTCTAACTGTTGCTTCCTGACCTGCATACAGATTTCTCAAGAGGCAGGTCAGGTGGTCTGGTATTCCCATCTCTTTCAGAATTTTCCAGAGTTTGTTGTGGTCCACACAGTCAAAGGCTTTGGCTTAGTCAATAAAGCAGAAGTAGATGTTTTTCTGGAACCCTCTTGCTTTTTCGATGATACAGCAGATGTTGGCAATTTGATCTCTGGTTCCTCTGCCCTTTCTAAATCCAGCTTGAACATCTGGAAGTTCATGGTTCATGTACTGTTGAAGCCTGACTTGGAGAATTTTAAGCATTACTTTACAAGCGTGTGAGATGAGTGCAATTGTGTGGTAGTTTGAGCATTCTTTGGCATTGCTTTGGGATTGGAATGAAAACGGACCTTTTCCAGTCCTATGGTCACTGCTGAGTTTTCCAAATTTGCTGGCATATTGAGTGCAGCACTTTCACAGTCATCTTTCAGGATTTGAAATAGCTCAACTGGAATTCCATCACCTCCACTAACTTTGTTTGTAGTGATGCTTCCTAAGGCCCATTTGGCTTCACATTCCAGGATGTCTGGCTCTAGGTTAGTGATCACACCAATGTGATTATCTGTTTCATGAAGATCTTTTTTTTGTATAATTCTGTGAATTCTTGCCACTTCTTAGTATCTTCTGTTTCTGTTAGGTCTTTGCCATTTCTGTGCTTTATTGACCCCATCTTTGCATGTATGTATTACATCTTTATCTATTCATCCATCAGTGATAGGTTACTTTTATATGTTGGCTATTGTAAATAATACTGCCTTGAATGTGGGGTTGTATATAGTGTTTCAGATTAGTGTTTTCATTTTCTTAAGATTAATTCCCAGAAGTGGAATTGCTGGTTCACATGGTTGTTCTGTTTTTAATTTGCAGGATCTTCATACTGTTTTCCATTGGAGAAGGAAATGGCAACCCACTCCAGAACTCTTGCCTACAGAATCCAGTGGACAGAAGAGCCTAGTGGGCTGCTGTCCATGGGGTTGCACAGAGTCAGACATGACTGAAGTGACTTAGCATGCATGCATGCATTGGAGAAGGAACTGGCAACCCACTCCAGTATTCTTGCCTAGAGAATCCCAGGGACAGAGGAGCCTGGTGGGCTGCCGTCTGTGGGGTTGCACAGAGTCGGACACGACTGAAACGACTTAGCAGCAGCAGCATACTGTTTTCCATTGTGGCTGCACAGATTTACCTTCCTTCCAACAAAGCACAGAGGTTCCTTTCTGTTTGTATCCTCACCAACACTTGTTATTTCCTTTGGAGAATGGCTGTTCTAACAGGTGTGAGGTGTTAACTGATTGTGGCTTTGGTTTACATTTCCCTGATTAGTCATGTTGCTCATCTTTTCAGGTATGCGTTGTCTGTGTGTGTCTTTCAGCTGTTTGGGTTTTTGTTTCTGTTTTTTGGCAATTCCATACAAATTTTAGAATTGTTCCATTTCTTTGAAAAATACCATTGGAATTTTGATACGGATTGCATCAAACCTGTAGTATGGACATTATAACAATATTAAATTTTCCAGTCCCTGAGTATGGAATACCTTTCTATTTATTTGTGTTGTCTTTAGTTTCTTTCATCAGTGTCATAGTTTTCAGATCTTTTACCTCCTTGGTTAAATTTATTCCTAGGTGTTTTCTTCTTTTTGATGTAATTATAAATGGGATTGTTTTCTTAATTTCTGTTTCTGATAATTTGTTAGTTTATAGAAATACAACTTATTTCTGTATATTGATTTTTGTATTCTGCAGCTTTACTGCATCTGAAACTTCACAGTTTATTATTTCTAACAGTTTTTAGTGAAGTCTTTAGGGTTTTCTATATATATATTATCACATCACCTGCAAATAGTGACAGTTTTACCTTTTCCTGTCCATCTTGGATGCGTTTTATTTCTTGTTCTTGCCTAATTGCTTTGGTTAGCACTTTCAATGCTGTATTGAATAAAATTGTCAAGAGTGGGCATCCTTGTCTTGATCTTAGAAGAAAAGTTTTAAGCTTTTCCACTGTTGAGTATGTTATCTATAGACTTACCATACGTGGCCTTTATTATGTTGAGGTACATTCCTTATATACCTGCTTTGTTGACAGGTTTTTTTTTTTTAATCATAAATGGATGTTGAATTTTGTCAGGTGCTTTTTCTGTATCTATTGAGATGATCATATGATTTTTATTCTTCCTTTTGTTGATGTGGTTTATCATGTTGATTGATCTGTGAGTATTAAACTGTTGCCTCCCTGGAACTGTTGCATCAATCCCACTTGATCATGGTTTATAATTCTTTTAATGTATTGTTGAGTTTGGTTCAGTAATAATTTGTTTAGGAGTTGTATATCTGTATTCATCAAGGATATTAGCCTGTAATTTCTTTTGTTGTGGTATCCTTGTCTGGTTTTGGGTACAGCTGGGCTTATAGAACGAGTTTGGAATTGTTCCCTTGTCTTCTATATTTTGAATTGTTTGAAAAAGTTGGTATTAATTCTTGTTCGAATGCTTGGTAGAAATCACTGAATGAAGCTCTCTGGTCCTCTGCTTTTGTATGTTTAGAAGCTTCTGATTACTAATGCAGCCTCTACTGATTTCCCTGCTGGCTCAGATGGTAAAGAATCCTCCTGTAGTACAGAAGACCGGGGTTTCAT